TGTTGTTCTTTTCCCTTTTGTGGAGTTAGCACTTTACAGTAATTGCTTATTGTGATTTAAAGGCCTATATATATGGTCCATACCAGTATACACTTATACTACCTTGTTCTTGTCACATGATTCAAAACTATATGCTCCAACCATCAATGCCATGCTCATCACCTCATTGAGGAGAGAAGGTTTCTGAAAAGTAGAAAAAGTTTGTCAGCTGGAAAATGTTACATCCTGGGAGATAACTTTCCAACTACACCCACAGTTCCACACAAAAATGTCAATAAAGGAAACAAACCAAACCAAACAGACAAACCTCAGTAAAATGCAGATGATAATCCTGCAACTTGTTGTCACACCACATACTGATGGAAAGAATAACAGATTGCAAATAACTCAATCTAGTTGGACAGCCCTTCCAGGTAGTGAAACATAATAGGCTCTGTATATAGTTATCTTCCATATGGTCATCATCTTGAGCAGACAAAACGTTCCGCATTGCATGAATTGAGTAGTCTAAAAGTACTGCCTCATTTGTTGCAACAAACTTTAATCAGCAAGAAAATGAATCAGAAGTCTTGTCAAAACTCTACATAGTAGAAATGCAATATTAAACTGCATCCCAGAATTAGGCCTTGTTCTTTTGGGTTAGAATTTCAGAGTTGGATGTTGGAAAAACTGGATAGAGTTAGAAGAAACTTGAAAGAGATGGAAAAAACTAGAAGGAGTTGGAAAATGTTGGAAGAATTTAAGGGTTAAAAAGCCACTCAATTAAATATTCATCCAATTAAATATGTAAGAAAACTCTAATTTTGGATTTAAAAAATTCATCATTGTCCGTGTGTGAGATGATATATTATAAATTTGGATATATAATATTATATTATATTAATCATATATAAATACCTTTTTAAGTCGTTGTTGGAAGAAACTAGGAGTTGGAAGGAATTGGAAGGAGTTGGAAGAAACTGGAAGGAGTTTGAAGAAGTTGGAAGTTAATTTTTCCAACCCAAAAGAACAGGGCCTTAAAGGTACACAAAATATAGCAAGGATACAGCTATAACTACAACAAAGCCTTAATCCCAAGTAACTTGGGGTCGGCTACATGAATCAAGAGGAGAATCATGTTAGGCTATTCACAAAAACTGCTCTCTCAACATTTCCTTCTATCCATAGCAAGGATACATTTATACATCGTTAAAACATAAACAATGAGTACTTTCCATTATAAATGGTGATAGATGAATAACTGAATTAAAGTACAGGATGCAAAAAAGTGCAAAACCAGTACAATTTTACGACAAAGACAACAAGTAGTCCGAGTACAATTCCAACTTCATTTGGATGGGGGTCAAGGTATAAAGTCTTACCCCTATGAAACAATGAGGCTGGCCTGGTTTGACCCTTATACATTGCTGTATTTATTATGCAAAACTTCATAAAAAGTAAGAACCGAAGGAAGTATAATGTGTCATTTTTATTTAGTCCACTATTTACCAAAAGCCAAAATATTGTAAATAGTGACTAGTTTAGGTCCACTAGCAATGGACGCAAACAATGAAATTTTACAAGGTCAAATAATGTAAAATAGAAATAGAGAAAAAGTGTGAAGTCATTAATGAAGAGAGCCGCATTATTGAACTAAGTCTATCTTTATTTCTTACTCTTGAGATTAAATATATTGTGCAGAACATAAAGATAAGCCAAACTATTTAGGCAACACAAAAATTCTGGTGCATAGTGTGCTACCTGTTGAAAAAGCACCCATGCATGTATCACGTTATGGAGTTTCTGAGTAATGCCTAACATCGACCAAGATGACTTGAGTAGATTGAGGATTTCACCAGCTTCCTGAAATCGATCAGAATCAGAAATGAAGATAAAGTTGTAAATACAGCAATATAGAATACAAACATTAATACTACACCTCTATAAGGTGGTCATCTTCAAGAATGTCAAACAACCCAACAAGTAGCTTCTCATAAATCCTGATATTCAACTGATAGCCAGCACTCCAATAATAACTTTCCCCCAGAATTCCATACTTTGGTGGCATGCTCGATAATGTCAACGCAATATGACTAATAGCTGATAGGACTTCAAAGCGTTCAGAGGGAGACATCCTAGTGTCCCAATCCTGAAGCACAAACAAATCTATTTACTTCAAATGAGTAAAATTTCCATCAAGAACATGTAAGGATTCAGGTGTACCTCGGGATTTCTGATTCTATCAATCAAAATGTCAACTGATTGCTTCTTATCATTGACATACTCAGCTGAGGAAAGAAGTTCTTCAAGAATGTCTGCCTTCAATAGACCACATGAAAGTTACAAATGCAGACAATAGGACATGAACTAGTAAAATACGGAGTAACTTTAATCATATGTTTCCTTGTGAGAATATCATAGAAGTCATTACTGATAATTTTATGTGGAACGCTAAACACAATTTCACCATCATATGAACAAATAATAGAAAAGAAGTATTTAATAAAAGTAGAGAATTAGAGTAAATATGTGTTGAGAGAATGATGCAAATGCCCTGGTGTTGAACCACTTAGCTTGCGCGTGCACACACACACACACACACATGTTCTGACTAGAAAATGGGTTGGTCCCATATAATTAAAGCTAGACTAATTAGGGTCAGGGCTAAATCATTCTATTATCTAACGCTCCCCTACAACTTGGAGTATAATACTTATTATTCCGAACTTGCTAAAAAGATAATCAAGCCAATTCCTACTAAGTTCTTTAGTGAACAAATCCACTAACTGTCCCAGTCAAGTCTTCTTATATGCCTTCTTGTATCTTTTCTCAAACAGAATCGCAATCAATCTTAATATGATTTGTTCTCAAAAGACTATATTAGATGCAATGTGTTGAGCAATCCTTTGCTGCAGATATGGTACATGATAGGGTGCAATGGCGTCGTTTGATCCTGGTAGCCGTCCTAATGAGATAAGACTTTGTTGTGCTGTTGAGCGGCCTCAATAGATGGTGCATTCACCTTATCTTACATGCACATTGTGTCATAGCATGATACTCTGATTTTGCACTCGAATGAGAGACCACATTTTTGCTCCTCACTTTTCCATGACATGAGATTTCCACCAACAAAGACACAATAGACAGTCTAGATTGTTGCCCACCCTTGAAGCTAGCCCAATCAACATCTCAAAAACACTTTGTATTTGTCCATTATTGGGATAAACAGTACCATGTCCTGATTCTCCAAGTAACACAAAATATGTTATGCGAGACTACGGCAAACCAATTATCAACACTTGGGGAAGTCATATATTCAGTTACTGAACAATTTAACCAAACTTATATACCACTCAGGTTCCTCAAATGGAACTTCCTCTTGACTCTTGGGAGAGTAATATTACTAATATACATTAGGAATCATGGGAATACTATATAGACTTGCACCTAACATTCCAGTCTTTGTCAAAATTATATGGAATTCATATAGAGCAAAGCATTGAAGGTTCGGATTAATTTTGGGCAATAAATGTAGCAATGCATGGTCAATTAGTTTGTGTACATCTTGATCCCCCAAATCCCTAAATACTTGGGACTATAATGGGTTGCTATTGTTGTATATGAAACTCATGCAAAAAGCATTTCTTAAGAGAGACTTCCTTAAAGGACAAAATTAGTAACTATTACTTGTCTGCTCTTCCATAGGATATATGACTTCTCGTTCGGAAAATCAGACTTGAGCATTCCATTCAACAATCCAAGGATGATTTGGGGAACATCAATCTGTTCCCGAGCTCTCCCCGCTGCTACAGCAGCCAAACATTGTCGAATGAGACTATCCATAGCTTCTGAGATCTAATGAATAAGAAATATTAGTTATTCCAGCATTAGGAAAAAGTTAACAAGCATACAACAAAATTTAAAAGAAACAAAACTAGGTAACACCGTAAGACATCTGCTGCCTCTCTTTTTCTAATTGATATTCAAACACTAATTTAACCCCAAGACAATGACAATGTTCACACATAATTCAAAGCACCCTGCATAATTTTAAACTTATAACCACAGAAGAAGCCTAGGTGTTCATAACCATACATAAAAATAAACAGATGACGAGAATTTTAGGTGTCAAGGTAGTTCTTTGCAAGTCACACAAAGTTTACAACTTCAAGTAATATCCTAAATACATCACATTTAAGTATGATAGAAGAAATGAAGAATATTAAAAAACAAAATCAAATCAAATGAAAAGCAATTACATGCCTGCATTTGTGACCGAAAAATGTCAATGAGCTCTGATGGCCTATCAAAAGAATCGGGCATTGGATGCCTTTTAACCCTTTTATTCTTCAACCCAGCCAAAAATCTAGAGTTCTTCTTTCTATTCTCATTCAAATGAAGTTCCATCTTACTAGTACAAAAAACATGGATTTAAGACAAGAAGCAAAGTAGTAGCAATAGCAATGCAAAAGTGCAAAACAAATATGTATATACAAAATACTCCACCGTCCCAAATTAAGCTTCCGGTTTACCTTTTCAGTTTGTCCCAAAAAAATCTGTGTTTCCATTTAATGAAAGATAATTTTGGTTATTTTATTTCACATTTCGTAATACGTGTCTAGTCAAAACATGCTAATTATATTGTATTGGTACACAGCGAGTATTTGGAATTCTGATGTGCTGAATGGTCTGTCAAAGTATGAAAACAGTTTTAAAAATTACCCCAGTATAACCCCAGCTCTATAGGGGTATGGGGGTCAAGATGTTCGCAACCTTACCCCTGGGAAAAAGAGAGAGGTTATTTCCATTATACACATGATGCATTGCTTCCCTAACTGCCCAATGCATTTAAAAACAAACATATAAATGAAGATGTAAATTGTAAAATATGGCGGAGCAGTTACCGAGAAAACACCAAACAAGCAAGGAATATTTCATAAGCAGATTCCCTCAAGTCATCATCCAATAGTCCTTCAGGAATCCCAAACTTTGTATCAGTTTAATCAAGCAACATTTGAATGGAGAAAAATCATGATGAACAATGTGTTGGTTACATAAGCCTCGGACTCCTTCACCACACAATCATTTCGAAAAGGGTTCATACGGAATGACTTGTTTTCATTTATCACTCTTCTGACTTTTCTTGCAATAATAAATACAATAAATACCTGTTTGTAAGGTAGGTAATCCAATTTTAGGGATATGAACATGATTTCGTGGGAGTGACTTTGTTGGTCCAGGGTGTGCATGTTTCAATTCATTCTCAAAACCAGAACGAGAACTTGGAAGATCAGAATCACTAAATGTATGATTGTTATAGTTGTACGCAACAACAGGTGGTATCCGTCTGGGAGGAGACCCGGCTGTTTCTGCACCCGAAAGAAGAAAATATGAATCCCCAAAGTGCGACTGCATCTGCAATAGAGAAAGAGCAAGAAAGATCACATATTTCATCCAGACAAATAGAAAACGCAGAACATAAAATGTCCATAGTCGAAAGACTAGGAATGGAATTGTTGGGACTTCACCATTATACCTTCAAGATTGAGTTACAAAAGAAATGCATTAAATAAATGTGTCAACTAAAAACGCATCATTGCATCTAACTTAAATCTGTAGTAATAAAGGTATTTAGAGTACGTGATTAAGTGTCAAGCTTATTTTGGGGCAAACTATGGGTTCTTTATTTAAAATAACAAACTAGTATGAAACGAACATGCTATATATCCTTTCTCAGCCTGCATGTAGGGACAATGAATTACAGACCAAGATCCATTCACCGTATTGAAATGGTGCAATCCATGCATGGCAGATTTAGGAGATGGAAGCCACATCAAACTCCCGTCCTCCTGAGTTCAGTTAAATTTCTCTTGCTATGAAAATTTATATGAATGAATTATTTTTTAACTTCCAACCCAGCCTAACACATGTTCAGAATAAGGGGTGTGCTGGCTTTGCCCCTGAATCTACATAAATACTTTGTACATCACAAGCATATAATAGATCGTGTAATTGTTTCTAAACTTAATAAATCAAACAAGCATTTAGTCCTCACATGCTGGACTCACCAAGATTCACCAATCTACAGAGAAATGTTGGATTGTTGGTGTATCATGATTCATGGTTCTCCATATATGGTTCGCTGTTTTATTGTCATTGTTTTCTAGATAAAGTTCTCTACTACTCACAAAGAAAGCCTTTTATCATTGTTCTTTATATAAGGTTCACTGCAATGTCCTTGACATCTTGAAATGTCAGGAGAGACAGAGAGGGCGAATTAATATAGAAATTAATACTGAAAAAAATTCATTTGTGCTTGAAACTATAATTTATAAGAAAAAATCAAATAATCCATAATTTTCCGCACTTGATTCTTTTCCAACACTAAGTTCCATCATTTTTCCATCTCCTTCCTGAAAAAATAAAGACTAACTTCAATCATATAGCATTACCGTTATTGGCTGTTGAAGTTCTTCCCGATATCTCTTACTAGCTACAGAAACATCTACCACACGACCTATACATTACAAAAAAAAGTCAATAATTTAAAAAAATTTACAAATGTGTGCTTGAAAACTCTGAAATGGAAACACGAACATATAACAGATAACTTCAAATTCCGTCGAAAAAGTTAAAAAAGAAGAAATGGAACATAATTACTGGATTGGATGCATTCCAGAACGTAATCGATGCTTAGAGCATCGAGGTTGAGGTTGGAGACGGTACTAGAGCCAGCCGGAGTTCGAATTTCCTTGATCAAGCCAGACGATAACAAAAACTCCAGAAGCTTCCGGCGATCGCGACGGTATCGCTGCAGCAGTGAAGCGCCGTCCATCGAATTTCAGGTAGAAGGTGAGCCAGCTGAACACGCTATGGCATTTCCCGAGTGCAATAAAACTTCAAAAGAAACAACCGCTTCTGCTATTTCGATTCTAAAGTGACTTTAGCTCGTGCCGGTGATATTTTCCGGCAGCCGCGCTTGCGACGGATTAAAAAGGAAGGAGACGAAGAAATGGTGGTCCGCGAGGCGGTGGGGTACTAACGCCGAATGCCGTGATCGCCGGTCACATCCCTTTTGGTTTTTCTTGTTAGCCTTCTTTACACACTTTAACCATTAAATTTAAAAAAAAAATATAGGAATAGGTCACGCATTTTTCATTTCAATTCATATATTTCAATTACAAAATTTGAAATTTTAAATTTTAAATGACAAGAGGAGTTGTATGGATTTTAAATTAAGCTTTGTTATGAATGAAAAAAATTTGACTCAAATCTAAATTCAAAACCTTTAAATTTCCCAAACATGGAATTTGAGCCAAATCCAGATTTGAAATACAAATCTATGTTCCCAAACATATCATAATGATATTCACTCTGAAATCATAATTTGGGTGAACTTCTCTATTAATCTTGAGGAATGAGCTTCATGTTACTCAAGTCATTTAATATATAAGAATTGAATTTGGTGTAGATAATAATGCATTAAAAGTGTGCTTTATTTATAGTACCGTACATCAAGAGACTCTTCAGAACACATTTCTTGATGTAGATATGAAAGAATAAAAGTAATAAAAATTGTATAGTGAGATGTTAGGTGGTGTACAAATTAGGTATACTTTTGGTGTGCCCCTAGCGTGATTCTTTAATTTATAGAGCTTACTCGATATATTTTTTTATACTAATAACTCGTATATGTTCATAATTTTTCTAATGCTCAAAGGGTTACTGTATACGTTATAGTTCGAACAGATGACCTTTAGTAGAGTCACAATGATATTGTGTAACCACACGAACTCTGAACTTGTACATACTGATTTGATTTCGGTGTAAGTTTTAAAAATTGAGATATGTGAACAATTTTTTCAAAAGAATGAAAAACACAATTGTTTTAAATTTGCAAGAATCCCATAGATAGGAGTAAAAAATTGTAAAAATACCAAAATAAAAGTTATAAGTCATTTAAGTTCAAAATAGGAGTTCACGATATCATTGTCACATTACCACACTCGTCATATTGTCACATTTTAACTGTCACGCTATCGCCGCCACACAGTCATTTGTCGCCGCCGGCAACCAGAATATCGTCGTGGATTGGTCAGCCTGATATATTACTCTCATCATTTTCCACCACACTGCCAACGCATACTCTTACACCACACTTATGTTGTACTTCTATTTTTATCTTAAAAGACTTTGGACTCATATTTTGGTATTTTTCATATTTTTTACTCCTATTTAGGGAGATTTTTTTTTAGTTTTTTTAAAAAAGGAATATAAATATTGTTTTGAGATTACTAAGATATGTCAATGTTATCGATGACAAGGAGCTTTTGCATCATGAGTCTTTCTTCTCCGATAACATTAGGATCTTCTTCCCACTGATATACCGTGACACATTTTGGAGGGATTCCAAATGCTTTTCCACAATTTCATAATTACCCTAGTATATATTGAAAGTACTCTATTCTATTCTCTTAGATAGTTGATGTCCAATCATCACAAAACCAACTAACTACATACCATTTTTAAATTCATTCACAAAGAACATCCATCCTTCCATCTTGTCTCCAAAATTAGATTGGTTGCAGAATTACAGTGGTCATGGTTTTATTTTTTTAAACTTCACACCGAACTAAAAGGTGCGGGTGAATGTGGATTATTAAATTTGAGATCAATGTAATGAGATGACACAAGGGCCTTATTACGATATTCCGTTCAAAAATCTGATGGTTTTTATCGCTCTGACTCTGCCAATAAAACCATCCACCTCAGCTCAATCCGAACTCATCCCTACATCCCATTTAATTTAACCCCCAAATTTTGTCAAGTTTGGAGTCAAATTTTGACTCCAAAATCAAGAAAATTTATATTGTGCATCAAAGGGGGTAGCGATGGGTTCGGATCGAGTCGGGGTGAAGAGATTTACGAGAGTGTTGGGAGGGGGGTAAAAACTATTACTTTTTGAATGAAACATCGTAAGACTCTTGAATCATCTCGTGACATTGTTAAGCAAAGTAATGGGAACCACCCTCTAAGTTTTGACAAAAAGAGCATTAGTAAAATCATGACTAGGGAGTAAGGATGTTCAAGTTTAAATCCAGACCAAAAAATGATCGAACCGAACTGATATGTCTAGACCGAACCTGGAACGAATAGATTTCAGGTTGGTCTTCGGTCCAAAAAAATTGGGCATTCTGATTTTGGTCTGGTCCAGTCCAAACTCGAAATGATTTAAGTCTGGGACAAATGGACCTAATAACCCTATCAAATTGGACTTAAAAGATTTAAATACTAAAACTCTACTTTTGTAGTTCGTCATTACATGTTAATACTCTATTTTAATAGATATTTTAATTTATTTAATTAACAAAGTTTCATACTCGTATTAAGTAAATTTTTTAAAGATTAAAAAAAATAGTGTTTCACATTAGTTTCTACTCCGTATGTTTTTATATAGATATAATCCATGTTGTGTATCTATTTAAGATTTTCTATTTTTTGTAATTTTTTCTTATTTGCACGGTATAAAATAAAAAGGCTAAAATATACTCTCTCCGTCTCAAAATATAAGTAACATTACGCTAAATGAAGTAATTTTTTGAATTTTTGAATTTATTTTATTTAAGGAATGGTTTACAAATGAAAAATAAAACTTATATATTTAAAAACTACGTCAAAAATTCTACAAAACAAGTGGTGACAAGAATATTTTATTCTATCAAATAATCAATGAAAATGCAAAAATAAATAAAAGTTCTCGGGATTTTTAAATAGGGAGAAATACCAAAGTAGGACTAAAACATTGAAAATATACCAAAATAAGACTTCCATGTTTTTGTTCCCAAAATAGGACTTACATTACCAAACATGGTCATATATATTACCAGAAAAATATAGTAATTTGCACATGTACACTGCCACATTACCACAATGCAAAGTCACATTACCACAACGCAAAGTCCTATTCTAGGGAAAAAAACATGAAAGTCCTATTTTGGTACTTTTCTCTATGTTTTAGTCCTATTTAGAATGATTTCTATTTTAAATAGTGAAATATTGCTTATATTTTGGGACGAAGAGAGTATGTAACAGATAAAAATAATTTTTAAAATATATTTTTATTCGACCTATTGGGTCCAAACCCGTCCGGTCTTAATATTTCGATCTGGTCTAGTCCAAGTCCATATAGATTTAAGACCTTAAAGTTTTTTTTTTTACTCAATTCTGTCTTTGGTTCGGTCCTGATGTATGGGGTTCTATGAACAGCCATCCCAGGTAGTACAAGAACTGGGTAGCCAACTGACCAAAGTCCATCCCGTGTTTCCCTCCAAATTGAAGGATTCGGATTTCGGGGGAGGGTTTTAGCTCTGAAGATCTCTGTCAATCGTGAAGGAGAAGAAGATCAGTTCTTCTAATTCAACCATCAATGGCGTCGTCTTCCTCTTCATCTTCAGGCCCAGACATCCCGTGGGTCGAGAAGTACCGGCCGACCAAGGTTGCCGACATCGTCGGCAACGAAGACGCCGTCTCCCGGCTCCAAGTCATCGCCCGCGATGGAAACATGCCTAATCTCATTCTAACTGTAAGCGACCTTGTTCACCCTGTTTCACTCAGTTACTTGCGAAGTATTTATGCTCTCAGTTTGTTTGGTTCAGAGTTTAAAACGGGAGAATTTCGAGACTGCTAAACAATGCATTTTGGGGGTTTTCGTATCCCATCTGGCAGATTTTTTGATGCTCCACTTTTATTTCTAGTTGGGCCTTATTTAGAGCTGGAGTCTTCGAGTTCGGGGACAAATTGCAAGTGTATAGACTATCTGTTTTGATTCCATCTGGGAATGTCTGGGACTATGTTTGGTTTAACATTAGGAAATGCAAAGGAAAAATAAATATGAGTTTAGTTGTCGTATTCTGCATATGTAAGTTTTTGGTTTTGAACATAAGACCAACAACAACAACAACCAAACCCTGAATAAAATGAGTGTCAACAACCTAGTAAAATCTCATGAAAGTAGGGTCTAGGGAGGGTGTGTCATGTGTGTATGCAAACCTTGCCCCTACTCGAAATTGGAGAGACTAGCCTACTAGAAAGTGGAGAGACTGTTTCGAAAAGACCCCATCCCGAGCAGCATAGATAGCATGACAAGCAAAAATTAAACCAAGTGTAAAAAAACCGCAAATAGATAAAAATCACACAAATGCCCCTAGCAACAATACCCCAGGATAGAATGCACACAATGTCAAGAGCAAAAACTACAACCAAGCCCCAAATGGCTACGCAACTACCTTAGTCCTAGATGTTTAGACACTCTTACATAAGGTCATATCTTTAATAAGGGTCAAAAGTCTTAGATTATGTCTAATCACCTCCTTCCAATTCTTCCTAGGTCAACAAATACATAAAATAAATTTATCGTGTTTCAACATATGCTGTATGTTCTCTGACATTTTCTCCTTCAAATGGTCTCTATGATTTCCGTTTTCTAGTATTTTCTAGTTCTAAATAGACCAATAACGTACTTCCCTGTGTTTTCTTGGTGTAAAAGAAACAACCTCCAGTTTGTTTATTCACACATTCGGTCAAAGAAGAAAGAATTCAATGACAAATTGAATTGGCTGGTCCTGTTTATCATTCTCACTGAGTATTTGAAGGTGTTGTTCAGGGCCCCCCTGGTACGGGTAAAACTACTAGTATATTGGCTCTTGCTCATGAACTTTTGGGACCACATTTTAAGGAAGCAGTTTTGGAGCTAAATGCATCAGATGATAGGTGGGAAGTAATTATGTAGTTACATGTGACAACCTACATTTCTATTTACCGATGTGATTGTTTGTTTCTCAAAACTTTTACGTTGACTGTCCAGGGGGATTGATGTTGTTAGAAATAAGATTAAAATGTTTGCTCAGAAAAAAGTCACTCTTCCTCCTGGTCGCCACAAGATTATAATTTTGGATGAAGCTGACAGGTTAGTGATTTCGTATATTGTTTTCAAATTTTGGTACCTGAAAACTTTTAGCCTGTTGAAAAAGCTTATGGTGTACAATATTATAATTTTGGTTGAAGATTGAAGGTGGTATGTTAGTGATTTTCAATTGCTTTATAGGATGTGTGTATCTTTTTGCCATAAGTGTTTTCTCATTTAAGCACTGGAGTGTTTTTTTAAAGACACACCTATTCGCTCAATCTTTAAAAAGCTTTTTTAAATATGGTTTTTTAATTTTTAAAGCACTTCTCTATTTCTGTCAAGCACTTCTTTTTTGAGTAGAAGTACTTTCTTCTTCTCAAAAGCACTCATTCCTTGAAAATAAGTTGTACCATGTATGGACCTATACGGTTATATGCTTACGTAACTCTCGTTCCCATCAACGTATCTGATCCTGAAGGGGCTATTGAGCACTCTTATCTTTTTGTCTAAAAACACACTTCTCTTTGTATCTCACTCTCTACATCCCAAAATAAGTTTGAGTTTGATCCAATACACTTATTAAGAAAGTTTAAAATTTAAATTGTGTGTTTGAAACTTATTTAGAGGAGAGATCAATAATATGAACCATATTTTTCATTCTTTAAAAGGAAACTTGAACACTATTTTAGAATGTACAAAAGGTGTACTCCAACTTTGGGACAAGGGGAGTAGTTGATAGCCATCATCTTGTTTAAGTGTATCTATAATGTTTTTTTGTCATTTTGAATACCCATCAGCATGACAACCGGAGCTCAACAAGCCTTAAGGAGGACAATGGAAATATATTCTAACTCTACTCGTTTTGGCCTTGCTTGCAATACCTCTTCTAAAGTCATTGAGCCAATCCAGAGTCGATGTGCCCTAGTCCGATTTGGTAGATTATCTGATCAAGAGATCCTTGGGCGCCTTATGATAGTGGTTGGTGCTGAAAAGGTACAACACTTTTTGAAAAAGCTATTTTAAGGCATCTCTATTCTTTGGGTAGAGGTAAGGTCCGTGTGCATCTAGCCCACCAAGACTCTACTCATGAGTGGGAGTTACTGCATATGTTTGGTTTGGGTAGAAAAATGGTGTATCACGTTTTGCAGGTTCCTTATGTACCGGAAGGTCTCGAGGCTTTAATATTTACTGCGGATGGAGATATGAGGCAGGCTTTGAATAACCTACAAGCAACATTTAGTGGGTTTGGGTTCGTCAACCAAGAAAATGTTTTCAAGGTTTGACACAGACACCATATAATCTTGAAACCAATTTTTGTGATTTTTATTCTAGCTTTTCAGTATTATAATTGTTATTTAAGATATTAATTTTGCATTTTAATGATACCTGTAAGGCTGTCACTTGTAAGTGTTCCTAAATTGCAATTAAAATATTTACAGACCTGCACTAATTATTACAGTATTATTTTTACATTTTCTCTTGTATCATAATGATACTTGATCAACTTTCCTAGTAGTTTAGGATCTTAAAAAAAATTAATAATAATGATATATCCATTCAAAAAATAACAATGATATATAGTATCAATACCATGTCTTCTAGTCCTAATGTAGTATAAGAATCTGTTTGGTTAGGCCAAATTTTGTTAAAGTCGCTGAAATCATGTGCTGCATTGGCAGGAGTTGATGAAGTCGCTGAATTATACGGAGGACTATCAACCGAATATATTTTAGTGATAAAACAAAGAAAATGTTGTATGGAAGTAGAGGCGGGATTTTCATTTTCATTCATTTCAGCAAAAAGTAAATAATGTTGTACTCCGTACTTTTTAATTAAAATTGTCTAAACGGTGAGGTTGACAAGGAAAAATAAAGGGTTCCAAACGGGAACTGAAATCCCATAAAGTCTTGAACATACAATTTGCTACATTAAGTTTTGTTGGATTGCATAACATCACTTTCTCTGTTCATTCTATTGGTGCTTCTGCCTCACTGGCAAGTGGTGGCTTTCCACTACTTGCCGAACTGCCATTTCCTACTTTCTAACAATTATATTCTGCAAGAATTTCAGGTGTGTGACCAGCCCCATCCCCTTCATGTGAAGAATATGGTACGCCATGTACTAGAAGGAAAATTTGATGATGCTTGTGTGGGGTTGAAGGCCCTATACGATATGGGTTACTCTCCTACCGACATTATCACTACCCTTTTCCGGATCATAAAGAACTACGACATGGCTGAGTACATAAAACTGGAGTTCATGAAGGTATGCATTTCTATAACTAAGGCGTCGAAAGTTTCCCTCATATGGTACCATGACTATTGGGTCATTTCTACTTTTTTCGTCTCTTGGCTTCCACTTTTGGTAAACCCGGATGGATTCCTTGCCACTTTTGGTCCTTCCAACCACTTTAACAACAACAACAACCCAATTGGATCCCACAAAAGTAGGGTCTGGGGAAGGTGTGTCCCTACTCGAAGAGACCTCCAACTAAAATAACACGGTCCTTCCAACCACTCATCCCGTTAATTTCATATCTTTCAATGTTAGCCTTAAAATCGGGAAAAGACCAAAAAGGACAAGATATCCATAGTCGCGCTCCGAGATTGGAAAATAGGGAGAATGATCTAATAGTCGTGAGACCAAAAGCGAAATGTTTCATTATTTTCCTCTTGACCTTCAATATATATATATATATATATATATATATATATATATATATATATATATATATATATATATTTGCAGGAAACTGGATTTGCACACATGAGGATCTGTGAAGGAGTGGGTTCATATCTTCAGCTATGTGGTTTGCTAGCTAAACTTTCTCTGGCTCGTGAGACTGCAAAGGCAGCGTGATAAAGGGTCAGCTTTTATCATTTTTCTCTGTAATGACTAGAAACTCTTTCTTTTTTTTTTGAAGTGAAAAAAAATGCTGCTAATATATTTTTCACTATCTCTTGGCATTTAACAATGGGTTTTACATCTTAGGTCATGTTTGTGCGTAATATTATGTTCAACAAAACATTGGGGAGGCATGTTATTATTTTATCATTATGACAATTACTCTCTCAATCCCGCAAAAACCATTTCTTATGATTTACGATATTTGGTTAAAATTATTTTTTATTCGACTTATTTGAATCTTTGTAGAATTTCAAGATACTACGTAGTCTATATCGTATGTAAATACTATACTATACTCAATAAGTTATACAAAAAAATGTGGCATGACTATTTTTATTTTAATCAATGTTCGTCAAGACAAAAATTTACACCATTACTCCCAAATTTTCTCGATTTTATATCAATACTTCGAGATTCAACAAATTTATTGATGCTTCTAGAGCTTTCATATATTTACATCGTCACTTCAACAATGACATAAGTTTACAACAGTTTCACGACACTTGGAATCAAGATATAAACGTATACTTGTATCAATTTTAGGAGCATCAATGTCATTTGTTAAATATTTGTGTAAACTCAATCAATTCTGGTTGTATTGGTGATTAGACTATGTCAATAGTAAGTCCATTTTGTGTGGATATGATCATCTCTTGCTAATTTAGCTTCACTCTAGTTATTTTCTTTGTGTGGATCTCTTCCACCCCCTTTTCTTTTTCATTTATTATAAAGTATTTTTTACAACTATTTTAATTAAAATTACTTGAACCAAAAGTCCAAAAACATAAAAATATAAAATAAATATTTCTTTCATATTAAACTTAGAAGTATAGTTCTTCGTCGTCCAGTTTGACTTTTGAATAAATTAGATAAACTTTGAAGTTCAATTAAGAAAAAACCGTGATATTGTTTAGCATACAAATGATTTTATTAGATTTATCTTATTAAAAGTTTTTAAAATTGCATTTCATTATATTAATACGAAGTATTTCATATAATTGAGGCTAATTGAAATTCAAAATTTATCTAGTTTGACACGAAAAAATCAAACTGAACAAATAAAGTGAGACAGAGATAATACACACATAAAATTACAATTTTATTTTAAAACCCTATTCAAAATTGGCATTGAATATAAAAGTAGATAATAAAAAAATTAAAGTAAAATGACCTCTATCCCTATATCTAATCTAATCTATACAAAGATAATAATACTCGTAGAAAACAGTGAATAATATATTTTCCCTCAAATTATATTGTCCAAGCAAACAGTAACGGATCGGGTTATGCTATTGGGCTGCTAGAATACCCGCATGTGGCAGGCCTGTTTGGGGCGTTCAACCTGCCAGCTGGCCTGATGTGAGAGGGCTAATTATGAAGGGCTAAAATAGCAAGTCTATACACAGCCTAATATCCATTTCAAGAAAAAAAAACATGTTGTCCAATTTAAAAAGTAATTAGACTATTTGTTTACTAACTTTTGTTTGGATGAAAAAGAAAATGGAAGGAAATAAAATGATGGGAAAGAAAATGGTGAGAAGATAAAATGAAATTATACTAATATTTGTTTGGATGATTAGAAAATAATGAAAAAAAGTGATAAAAAAAGAAAATGTGATACAACAAAAAAGACATTTTTATCCTTTTTAAAGGGATGGTGAAATATTAACAATAAAGGCAAAATTGTAAATTTACTTTTTTCTCTCAAAGATACGGAGTACTTTTCTCACCGCATGGGGTGAGAAAATTTTTGGGCTTAGACTCATCCGTTTTCTTTCCATTCTTCGCCTTTTTATGTAAACAAACTGGGGAAAACACATTGGAAGTTCTGTTTTCTCACCGGATATTATCTTTAATTTCTCACCGTCCAAACAATTGCCAAAAGTTGTACCCCAAATTATAGATCATAAGTGTGCGCCTTCATTTTGTATTAGTGTAATGTAGTACGATCGTTGATATACACAAAATGGTTGTGCAAAATTTGTTGATCGCACAAGCATTTTGTATCAATGTAAACTATGAAAACATTGGTGCATATTTTCGATGTAGATTTTGAGAAAACTTCTTGATGTACTCCTAGCAAGGTTGTTTGAAAAATCGTGCGCCATTGGCGCCATTGTAGGGAGTGCGGAGCATCCGGTGCCGCGGCGCGGGCCTAACGCCAGGCTTAGGGCGGGGCGTGGGGCGCAGCGAAAAGGCAAGGACATAATATTTTTTAAAATTTAATTTTTTTATTATTTATCTTTTTTTATTAATAGAAAAATATTTTTATTAAAGTTATATAGGTTTTTAAGTAAAAATGACGAATAATGTAAACTAAATAGAAATGCAAGACGAAGTGGCAATATCATTGCATTAGACCTGTGCAAATAAGGATCCGGGCTGGATCTGGGTCGGGCTTTATATAAATTATTAGCCCATTTACATGGGCGGGCCTGGCCCGGCCGTATTTGATGGGCTAAATTCTTTACCCATACCCGTCATCTTTGCGGGCCGGACTGCCCACCGGGCTGCCTGGCCCAGATAAAACATCAAGAAAATTTATTTTGTACAAAAAAATTAAAAAAAACATTGAACTCTTTTTAATTTTTAAAATAAAATAACCAGTTACCACATTTATATAGAAAACATAATAAAGATATTGTTGCATAATTAATAAACTCATCATACTAATTCATTAAAAGAGTATTGATTTTTGTTTAAAAGAAGTGAGTGAATTAAACTATTATACATGAATTATAGAAAATTTTAAAATTTGTATTGGCTAAGTAATTAATAATAAAGTAAATATAATTGATGAATATGGACGGGCCTGTTGGCCCAGATAGGCTAAAAGTAACTTTCATATCCGCCCATATACAATTCGGGTTTGGGCCGGCCCGCCCATTTGGGTATTAAAGGTTGTCCAGATCCACCCTTTTTAAAGGGCGTGCTGGGCGGACCGAACGGGGGTCTACATTGCATGTGTTTTGGCTAGGTACACAAATATAAGAAAATGATGGCGTGGCCGTGGAAAAGATTGAAGAGGGAGTTGTGGAGAGGTCTTCAATTGCAAATTTATAAAAATGAAAAATCGGTCTTTATTTGGTCCAGTTCCAATCTAGTCTAGGTTTGAATCGATGCATTCACCTAGGTGGAGTCCAGGGGCAAACTGGGCAAAGAGTGTTTGGGCAAGTTAGATGATAAAACTCATCAATTTTATCGAAATATCATAAATATCCTAGGTCATATTAAAATTAAATTACCTTGAATAGAAAGAAAGGTGGTGAAAGAAAAAATAAAAAACGGAGTACTTTTGCAAGTGTTAAACTTGATTTTTACCAATAGTATACTACTCCGTTCTGTATTCATATTTTGACTTGAAAACAATTAATTTTTACTCTCTCTGTCAACCTAAGATCTTTCCATTTGCGTGTTAAAAAGTTTGATTGACTTTATTTTCAATTCAATTTATTTGAATATTGGGATAAAATTTTAATATGAAATCTATATAGTAATAAACTACATGAAAAGTTTTACGAAATTAGAGGTGACAACACTATATTCTTTCATGAAATGAGTAGTAAAAATAAATAAACAAAATATGTTAAGTTTGACCCTGTAAATAGTATTTGGAAAGATCTATGGTGGCCAGAGGGAGTATAATTTAACTTTCTAATTACTCCCTCCGTCTTAAAAAGTCTTTCCTATTTACTATTACGGCCTCTCAATAACTCCAATTTATTTGCGTGTTTTCATTGATCATTTGATAAAATAAAATATTTTTGTCACCTCTTATTTTGTAGAGTTTTCGATGTAGTTTTTAAATATAATTTTTTTATGTGTTATTTCCTTACCAATTTTCAAATAAAATCATTTTAAAATTTTGGGATTTTGCACGTTAATCAAAACAGAAAAATTTTTTTGGAACGAAGGGAGTATATCTTTATAATGGAAAAAACAAGACAAATCATTAAAATGACTTATTCTATCACTGTAAATTCAATGGAGTATATTACAACTTAATTTAAGTATATTAATCGTTTTTTACAAAAAATAAGTGTTTTAGAAAAAACAAAAAAAATTGTTTCAAGAAACGGAGAGAATATATATATATAAACACTTCCCATTAAATAAAGCAGGATCCCGAATTATACAGATACAGAATTATAGCAAAATCTGGAAAATATTAATTTACTCTATCATGTTACATCTGCCTATAAAGATATTGTCATAATTCCCATTCTGGTTAACCCTCCTCCAAAAATCACTATTCACACACTGGCATGAATAGTAAGTCTTGAAGTGACATTAAGAAAAACAAAAATAACAAATAACATTACCCTGGGTAGTTTTTCTTCTTCTTTTTTACTGATCCCAACCCTCAAAATGTGTGCATTGAGAAAGAACCATACTACAGAGTACAGAGATAATAAGTTAGCATTGGTAAAATAACTAATATCTATGCCAAAGACCACCACTGTTGAATCCGGCCCGATCTCGAACGGGCATGCCAAGATTGTCCAACCGACCCGAGCCCGGATATGCCTGCTGCAGAGCCGGGGCCCGTTGTGGGTTTGTTCCGAGCTCGCCATACCCGTGGATGGAGTAGCGCTTCGTCGAGCACAACTTTTCGTAGTGAGGCCTTTGTCTAGGGGCACTGAATGACCTCATCTTGGCCTTTGCTGACTTGGTGTAGGACATGTAGTTCGGATGGTCCGAGTAACCGCTCAGGACGCTTCTAGAAGAATCGCTCTTGGTAGGCGTGAAGGGCCCCACTCTGGAACCCTTCCCGCCTCCACCAGCACCTCCTTTGGACGAAGCCGAGAAGTACTGCGGGCTGTTGTCTGCAGTGCAGAAGCTGCTTTCGTCGTACTTTTGTGGGCTCACAGATTGGGCCTCACAGTACGACGGGCTGTGGACAATCTGGTGGGCCGTGGAGTCCTTCGATGTCGTTAGGCTGTAAAGACTGTATTGGTCAGAGACTAAGCTGAGATGAGAGCTGTGGAAGAGGTTTCTTTGTCTGGGGTTCCCCCCCGCTGCCGCTATGTCTATTTCAAGAATCTTGTCCGTCTTCCAGTCATCAATCGGGCCGGATCTGGTTGATCCTTGTTGATCCGAGGCCCACGGATCCATCCGATAGTCCATACGGCTCGACCGCACTCTATCATGTTCGCCCATTGTTCTCCTCCTTGAATGACTCCTCTGCATTATTTTTATTAAAGATACATGCTTGTTAAGCCTTGCAAGTGTTTTTTTAGCAACAACCATATTAATAAGAAAAAAGAAATCTGCTTCGGTTAGATTCTTTTGACATCAAGGTTGGTGTCATATTATAACACTAGCCTTCGAGAGTTCGAGGCCTACCGTTGTACCCAAAATGATTCCTACGCTGCCCCCCACTTAGTCCCCCAAATTGCCTTTTGCAGGCATAATTATTGTAGCTAAACAACGATTTGTGGGGAGGGAGTTTTAGGGTGGAACAGGAAGGAACCACAGCTTTGGGGTCCAACAGAACATCGTAAAAACTCGAGTGTCATAATATGACACCCAAAAAAGTAATGGAAAGTACCTTAAGAATGGATGGGTCATCATTGTGTATACTCCTTGTTCGATAGGCTT